GTTTAAGTGTAATTAAGTGAACTTATAATGGAGTTTTGTTAGAACTGGCTGGCAAACTCTGTTCGGATATGTTCAAGGAATTCTTTCCTGTCCTTGCTTCGTTTACATAAAACCGGATACCAGCTGGTTGGGTAATTACTTAATCTAGTAAAATCTAGGAAATTCTCTCATTGAATACATACATATGTACTGCAAGACCGTATTAAAATGTACATATAGGCTGAAAAAAAGCTCAGTTTGTTCCAAGTTTTTAAGTTACCCTGTAAACCAGTGAAATCGTTTTTACAAGCTTTTATTATATTTCACCTGTGTGTAATCAAACTTTGCAATCAATTTTTAGCTATCTTCCTCGGAACCCGATGACAATGCAAAATGGAAGTTAAATTAATCTACTAGATGGCGCAGGTGTCGGTTTTTGGAAAACCGGATTTGTTTCATATTAAAAATGTATATTTCCTACATGAAATTGGATAATGGCACAAAAATTTTGTCCGGTCCACTAATAAAACTTTGTCTTAAAAAAATTTCTGTTTTCTATAACCTTTCATTTGATGTCCGATTTTTATAAATATACGCCGTTGTTTAGACAAGGTTGTTGATAAACAATAAATCTTTAGTATTGATGTTGTATTGCCCTTGTTTCAAAGAATTATCAGTAGAAGATTAAATTTATTACGCCTCTAGAGAAAAGAACTACACAAAACTCCAATTATTAAAATAATGGGCTTAGGTTCAGGGTGAGTTCATAACAGCCCGAACTGTGCACAAACGTACATTTGAATGCAGTGCGCGTCAAAAGTTAACATACGGAGAACTTTTTTCAATGAATGCAAAGTTTCTTCTTCTAATTTCTTTTCGCTAATGCTTAAGAAAAGTATAGTTTACAAAAATTATAAAAATAATATTTCTAAACTTTATGTACAATTCAAATACTCAAAGTCTTTCTAGAAAATCGAATTAAAAAGTTCAAAATTTATACGCAAATTTCAAATTTATTGAATTTTTCTGAATTTTGCACAAAGCTTACAAATTTTATTTTGATATTTTTTTTTGTAATATGAACTATACATAAAAAAAAAATTATCTGTACGTAGACTTTTGTCACCCACTGTACGTATGTATTCGCATGTCCATCTTTGACCTTAGCAGAAGTATCCCCACAGATATCATTTGAAAGCGGAATGAACGGTGTACGATATTTGGAGACTGGACCAAAAGAAAACTCTTCACGGTTATCTCAATGCCGAATTAGTTGGAGGAGACTTTTTAAAAGTTTAAGCTTCCGGATCCAATGATCCGCTGTTCCAAGCTTTCCTGCTTACCAGTGTAACACGTTTTAGGCAGATTACAAGCAAGTAGCTATGTACTCGTATTTAGGTCGTGGCTGCACTATTGAAACATTCACAATTAGTTCCAGAATAAGTAGCTGATCTAAATTTTGTCCGAATCGGGAAAAAAGGCCACTAAGATTTCAGGAAACATTTAAGTTGAATCCGTGGGTAACTTAGGAACATCTTCAAGAGCAAAAAAAATGGAGGTTCTCTAGAAAATTTTAAATTCTGATCTTGGACCATTACTTAGCTATAGGTAAGCCCCAAGTAAGTTCACAGATTTATCTTCTGGTTCTGGTTTCGGAATGAACGCATATTAATGCGTTCTACCTCAGAATAATATCTTAACCTAATAAATTTATTTTACATTGACGTGACATGAGGAATAAGCTCCACAAAAAAAAAAAGAATATTATTGCTACTCCTATCTCAGCTCCAAATCCATACATAAGTACAAAGGTAAACAAGTATTTTCTTAAGTTAGTATAACACACTAATTTTATTACACTTATAGATAAGTGCGTATACAGATATATATGAACATGTGTATATATTTATATGCTTTATCTTTCTTTGAATCTTCATGATTTTATCTTATCTAAGACAAATGATAAATAATCTGATACAACGGAGGTGGATTACGTTAGGATATTACGGCAACTTAAATATTTGTAGACTAGCTTGGTATATGTACATATATATGTACGTACATGACACTTATAAAATAAGATAAAAAATTGTAAAATAGAAAATAACACCGTGCAACACATTTTTCTAACAAAGAAACACCCTACGCAGGTCGATAGAACTGATCTAAAGCAGCGATAGGCAGAGAGAGTTTTTACTCTATACGCGCCTATACAAAATATATAGAAAGCTTAAGAGCTTTGCCCGCGGGCAAGGCGGTACCCATCACCGATCTAAAGTAACAAACCCCTAAAACAGAGATTGCAGAGAGCGCTTTTACTGTGCACGTTAAATCTATATAAAGCTCAAAAAAGCTCTTCACGCGTAAAGTGGATTACCCCCCGCTGCCCGAAAAGTGTTTCGCAAAGTCAGCTCGCGTTTTAAAGATTTTTCTCCAGTTTCACCAACCAATTTTAAAATTTATCAGACTATTGAAATCTAAGATGGCGAATTTTTCGAACAAAATTGTGTCATTTTAAATTTTACAGGCTGATAAATTTAAATTAATTGGTGCAACCGGGCATTGGCCGATCAATATTTGGCTCTTGCATCGCATGTAAAAGTTATCAATACTGGGAGCCAATTCTGGTTCTATGAAATTGTGAAGTGAAATTGAAAAATTCAATGTCAATGAAGATTTAATTTTTTCACTTTATTATTTTGTTATATCATTTTAAGCGCTTCTCGATTATTAAAGGCTTTTCTTTTAACATCTAGCAAGTAATTATTTAGTAAATTATTGTGGGTGATGAAAAATGTTTTCACGTATGATTAAAAACTAAGCAGGTGCTTTTTCTTAAAGTTTCAAGTCCTTTACTTAAAAGGTCTGAAATTTTAAGAAAAAGCTTAGTTTTTATTCATACCACCCATTGTTCTGGTAAGAAGTTCGACTAAATACTTATTCTATTGAAAATTTGCCTCACTCAACTTTTTTCTTTTGAAAGCAATATAAAAATTCACTGTTTTGTTTACGAGTTTCACCTCCAGCCATAATCGATTGCACAATTGTCTTCAATAATATAAATATAACGAGCTAATCGATTATGCTACATATGTACATACATATGCATATAGCGGCAACAACAAAAAATAACACAAAAACTTGTATATAATTGAAAAGGAAAGCAGCCACACAAAAAAAAAAAATAAACACGCAGCTGACCTTCTCACGCCGACGCACTATGGGCAATATGAGGCATTTGCTGATCAAAAATCTGTAACTTTTTTGGTTTAAAGCTACGATCATGATCGTGTAGATTTAAACCATGCATTCTTCATTTTTGTATCTCATTTGGTTCCCGAGATATAGACCCAATATGTGGACTTGGAAAACATAAAAAGTACACTTTCTGATTAAATGGAAAGAAGATATTATACTATTGGTATTAAACGATTGTTTTTATAAAATATTATTTCAGATATATATATATATATATATATATTAGATAGATTACCCTTTATTAAAAAAAATATATACAATATTTAAAAAAAAAATTCTGAACTAGTAGGTTCCAAAAGAAAAGTATATAAAAACACCCTAATAAAACAAATTTTCAATGGTATACCAAATTGCGCTTTGAAAAAAGCTTGTCGTTTTCTAAAAATTATTAACTTCGTCGGATATTATTTCAGCATTACGTGACTCAAACGATTCTAAGACAGTTTTCTTTTTTTCGGTATCTGCCGTCTTTCTAGCTTCCACAATATTAGCTTCAACTCTTTTACCCATAGATCGCAGTTCCGAACTTTTGGGGAATACGCAGTAACTGCCCGTATCAGCATGCAGATGTTTCTTAACCATTGTGAATAAAGAGTACCTAGCAGACAATCGGCCATATTTTTTTCGAGTTCCTTATTCATTGTGGGTACTAAAACTGGAAAACTAGTATTGGTACCTGCAATTCACAACGGTTAAGAAACATCTGCATGCTGGTGCGGGCAGTTTACTGCGTATTCCCCAAAAGTTCGGTGTGAATTGCAAGTATCAATACTAATTTTGCGCAGGATCAAGTGCGGTCAAGTGTATCCTTAAAAGTCGCCAGCAAACTTTTTTATCTTTATTTACTCCCATTTGATTGTAAATAATAAAAAATCGTATTTATTGGTAATTCCGTATGAATGGTGTTTGGTAATTTCTTCTAAAAATTATTAGAAACTCACAAATGTAACATCAGGTAAAAGGTGTGGTTGTCTTGTTTTGGAATATATAATTTTTTTGGTTAGGTTTTAAGATTTATTATTTATAGGGTTAAAAGCTCAGTGATACTAGTAGCTGCTGAAATCCTGTATTCTCACGTAGTGTCACTTAAAACATCATAACTTCATATGGCGGAAACTTTTTTTCCGTGTAGTAGGTGGATTTTTCGTGCTTTTAATGAATTCAAATTCAAAAGATACCCAAGTGGAGAAAACCTTCGAATCTTTCATCGAAACTAAAAAAACGAAAAAAAGTGTATTTTATTAAAGAAGCGGTTGCTGCAACCTGTTATTTCAAAATAAAATATTTATAGCTAATATAACATATAACTCAAGTCAGTATTTCTTGATAGGCCCTTGCTAGGAAAAAATTCCTAAACTGCGGATCTGACAATTACTGCGTTGCGAGTAAAAATTTCAACAATTTGAATATGTCAACTTCTTAAGTAATTTTCACTTTATTTCCTTTATTCCCTAAAAAATTATTTACAACTTTTGAAAAATGAATTTATGATCCGTCTTTGTACTGGCTCGATCCATAGTGCGACGCCCCACTTTTTTATGTAGCTTTTCGCTTGTTCGAAAAGAAGGTAGCAGAGCGGCAGAGACAACAAAATACAAAAAAAACTAGCAAGATGGAACGGAAGAATGACAGCAATTACTATATGCGTGACCTTGCCGTACAAAAGCACGCAATGTCGAGTACATACAAACAGAGCCATATACTAGGCGCACAAATTTTGGGCCACTTCCAGATACAAAATACTATGCAGATATGTAAAACAAAATTTCATAAGTTTGTTAGTCCCTTTGGCTACCAACCTGAAAATGTTGCGGAATTTGTTGTTGTTGTTGGCCTACTGTTGGCGCCTGCTGCTGATGTGGATGATGATACGCTTGCTGTTGTTGTTGTGGTGTTTGTTGTTGCTGGCGTGGCGAACCATATGCGGCGGCATTGGGATCAGCATAATAGCCGCCGGCTGGTTCATGATGTATGGGTATATTGATGCCATTGGTGGTGTTGCCGGCTACAGAGCCACCGCCGCCACCACCAACGCCCGCTGAGGCGTTTGCATTCGCATTGGATAAGACGGTAGGGCGCATTGTTGTTGACGTTGTTGTTGGTGTTGCTGGTTTTGATCTCCTCGTTGCTGCGCTGAGTTAAAGTTTATTGTAGATTTTTATTTTATTGATTATTTATTTAGTACGATATTTGCTTGTTGTTGCAGAAATATCACTGATTAAAGCTTTATGTTGCGGTTCGTAGTCACTAATGTTAATTTCGGAAATAGTTTTGAATTTTTTTTGCTTTCGATGTTTTAGTGCAAATTCTAATGTAGATGGGTTATTTATTTTTCCAAATTTTTATTTTTTTAAATTTGTTTTGCTTTAATTAGTTTGAATTTTCGTTGACTTTCTCTTTTGCTGGAAATATTGCTGCCACTTTACTGGAATTTAGGAAATTTATCAGTTCTTAAATTTGTATTCGTTTAATTAATTTTCGTGAATATTTGTCTCAATGAAATCTGGTTCAATAACGAATGAATATTATGGATTTAGGTACAGGAAACTTGAGCGTTTGGATATGTAATCGCCGGAAAATTTAAAATAAGATATTAAAAAATAAAAAAAAACAGTTTTTGTTTCAGAAAATTTGGTTTAGCTTAAAGCAATTGAAAAGTTCCATATTTAACTTATAGTTTTGTAATTTTATTTTTACAAATCTTTAAATAAGAAATTATTTCATTTATAAAATAAAATTTTTAGCGACTGGAAAAAATGTCCAGAAATTAAATTTTTTATGATATGGTAAGAAATCTGTTATATTTTTGTGTTAAATTTTCGAAATTTTATTTGATTGCGTACATTTTAATTGTTATGTAATATGTATTTTCAAAACTCTGCACTTTTCTGGATAGAGCTTAAAAAGTTTCGGTATTTCAAATGTATTTTTTTAATATTAAAATAATTTTCTTGAGTTCATTGACACTTTGCAAACAAACAAAACAAAAACCCAAAAGTTTTGAAAATTTTAATGCACTAATTTTTTTTTTTTAATTTTGCATTTTAATTTTTTTGTTTGCGTTTGTAAAATTTGAATTTTTGTAATTTTTAATTTAAAAGCTTGTATCAATTTGACTTTATGTTAGGAAATATAGAAAATTGTGTTATTTTTTAACTTAAGAAACTCAAATTAAAAAAAGGCTTTCTTTATTATAATTTTTACTCTAAATTTTAATATTCAGTAAAATTATTCAATTTCAAATTTGTCTAAAATTCCATAGCTATTGAAAGAAAAATACCAATAACAGTGGTCGCATTTTTTTCCTGAATCAAGTTTTATAAAAACATAAAAAAAACAAACAAATTACAGAATATATATTTTTTGAGACGTACGAGTAGGAGCAAAAAAAGTTAGTACGAACGTCGCCCAAGCAAAAATATGTAATTGAGTTTTGTTTATTTCCGACTCGCAATTAAGTGAATTTATTAATTTTATATTTTTCTGACGATTATTTATTTTTTTTTTGTAAATATTCGAAATATCTTTTTGAGATTTTTTAGGCGGACATTTAGCCAAATTTAAAATTTGTCCCAAGACCCTAAATATTTAATTTAAGGTTTTTTTTTAAGTTTTTATGAAAAAAATAGCAAACATTTTTCTCAACAACAAAAAAAAATCTTGTTATAAATAACACCGGCACACAAAAAAAGGTGGTGTGGTCTTGGAATCTGAATCTGCGGTCCGTTTAACTCGTACACCTCCAAAATTTCGAGTAAATTGCAAAAAATGCGAATTTTTTGCAATCTTTTTCGGTTTCGGTGTATGAGTCAAACGGACCTCAGATTCCGATTAGGTAATTTTCACGAACGTTTGGCCCAAACTAAAAAAATAGTTTGTAGTTAGTAGTTTCAAGAACATTGTATGATATTTTTTTTCCTAAATATATATCTGCTTGAAAATTAAATTTTTAAGAATTCTTTATGAATTAAAATATGTATGCAGATACTTGATCCAAGAATTATTTTGCCCTAAAACTTGCTGTATATACACACTTAATAAAAAATCTTTGTTTATTTTTTTTTTTTTTATAAATAGTAAACAGTTTTTTTTTGAAAAGTCATATTAATAAATGGTATTTGGGCTAGTAGAAGAAAATTATAGTTATCTAAATCGTGCAATTTATAAAATTTAAAAGTTTGTTGATAATACATTTTTTTCACATTTTCAATTTTAAAGCGTTTTCCTTTTTATAATGAAGAGTTAGCAACTAAAATTCGTTATTTCTTTACTTTTTGTTAAATTTTATTTCACTTAATTTTTTTAAGTTTATTGGTTTTTATTAACGAAATGTGTTATTTTCGTGAACACTAGAAACATTTTTCACAAACTTTCCGCTTCTACAATCAAATGCGATTTTTTCTTAATATTTTCCACCAAATTATTTGCTAGTTATTTTTGTTTTTAATAGAATTTGCAAACTTCTTCATATTTTCTTGACTTTGCACACTTTATATGACTGCCGGTTGCTCACAGCTGTCTCAGCTGTTGCGGCGTTGTTTTTTTTTTTCTTGGCCCCTTCTTGATTGGTGTGGGTGGCGTATGAGCAACCATAAATGCGCGAGCGTTAATCTTTTAGCCCACCACTATATGTATTCAGCTCGCCCGTTTTACCACCAACAGCTCGTTCTGTACGTGGCGGCGTTTGCTCGGCCGAAATTCGACTGTTCGCTTACTACCCGCTACTACAGTTGGCTGCTTAGCCATTTGCTAATGTTATGGCTACTCGCTCGCTAGTTGGCTGGCACCCCTGCTCTGCCGGACTATTCTGACCCACTAGCCACACTAACCAGCTATTAACATAGTTGCTTGGGTGGTGAGGAGGCGCTCAATTTTCGTGGCAGTGTCGGGGTTGTTGCTGGCTACACTCATTTATTCGCCCCTTTCTGTGCGCGCGCGCTTGTTGGGGGGTTTCTTTGTTATTGTCGTTGTTGTTGTTGCTGATGTTGCTATTGTGCTGCTATTGCCTTTTGTTGGTGGTGGAAAAATTCTATTGCGATGTTTCTAGTAGCTTTTGGATATTTAGCGGACATTTTGAGAAAAAAATTTCGTAGCAGTTCGCAAAATACACACACGAATGGGATTTACTTGAATTTTAATTAAAATTTTCTATAATTCAATTTATTTGCATTTTAATTGTTTTTCGATACCAACTGCTAGTGTTGTATAATGTGAGGAAACCGGAATTTCAACCGTATTATTCTATCGATTTTCGTAAAGTATAAAAGAAGGCTGTTGCGTTATTGTTGTTTCGATTGTTGTTGTCATGCCGTTTATTGCACGCACATTCACCTTGAGCAAAAAAAGTCGCATTAATTTAACCTAAAAGCACTTGCAGCACCAACAAATGGCGTTTTGGCACGCGAATGCGTCGAAATGATTCACAATCCAGTTTCTACGTGTTTTTTTTTTTGTTGCAAAAATCAAAATTCGCAATGCAGCAATTTTGAGATTTGCAAAGAGCCAAAAATTAAAGAAAAAGTCAGTTATGACGTCATTATGTGCGGCATGGCTCAATTCGCTTTTTCAAAATTTAATATTAGTATCACTTTGCTTTTGTTGTTGTTGCTGACAAAGCTGAAAACCGCGTGCTCGCCTCCTAAGCTGTAGCTTATCACGTATGTAGCTCCACCATAAAAAAATTGACAGCTATAAAAAAAAAATGCAAATTCAATTTAAAATAAGCACTTTAGTTGCTACGCTCAAAAATAACAACAAAAGCAAAAAAAATTTTGCTTTGAGTAATTTCTTTTTTTTTTTACTGTATCTATATCTTCCGTCGTATTTCTTTTTCCACACACGTTTGCCTTACGATTTCTTGCCAGTCGTTGTTGTTGTAGTATTTGTTGTTAGCGCCGTTTGTTATTAGATTCTTATACACACACAATTTAACTTTTTTAGTTTTGTTTTTGCTTCCGCCGTACTTAATCGCTTCGTTGTTACTTTTAGACTGTCTTCCTTAGGTTGGCAATTGCTACCTTATTGCCCCAGCAAGTCGTCAATATACCAAAAACTTACTAACTCATTCTCCAATTGCTCGCAATGCCAACTGCTCCACGCAAGCTATTTTAATATGTTAGTGTGTTTGTGTTTGCCTCATTCACTCCCATCGTTTTTGTTCTCTCTCTATCTCTTTCTCTAAAGCACGATTTCTTCCCACTTTGGCTGCTTTTCCACGTGTGTTCTTCAACTTGTTGGGGTATGAGCGCCATGAATTTGACATAGAGCACGCTGAGATGGAATTTTGAGAGTGAGCGAGTGGAGCATGAGAAAGAATGTGAGCGGCAAATATGTGTTCGTAGTCTATGCACAGTGGGTTAATTCCTTAAATGATGAACAGAAACTCAATTCCAAAAGAACCGAAAACCATTTCCGGAAGAATCGAATCCTCGTTATTTTTGATCTATCGACTTGCAACTCGGTTTGTTTCCGTATTGTGGAGTTCTGAGTTGGCCTACACATTTTTTCTTTGAATATAATGTCAAGCTAGTTTCCTTCCTCATCACTGTCAGCAGCGATTTGAATGGCTCAAAAACGCAGCGACAACATAAAAAAAAAAATTATCGAAATATTAATTTGTTTTAAATGATATACTAGCGTGGAAAACGCTTATTTAAATTTAATTTGATGCATTTTATTTTTATAAATTATGGTACCACAAATATCAACTAACGAATGCATGTAATATATTTATTTATTTTCTTTACTTTACTTTATAAAAAAAATATAAAAATAAAAAGTAATTTTTGTAAAAAATTTTCTTTCTTTTAAGATATTTCGACGCCGCCCATTTCCGTTACCGCTTATTTGAGAACCGAAACCGGTCCAAATTCCCGGGTTTCCTTGCGTTTCTCGACATGTCCTTGAACCATTTTTATTCTCCGGCAAATCCTAGCAGTCCTTCTAGTGGAGCTTTCCAGTTGAGGCGTGAGTGCTAAGCACTCGCAAAGGATTGGAACCTGGCGGCCATATGGCCAATGGTCCAATGTCCCATTCGTATTTCTGTGAGAAGCCTAACTTTTGTCTTTGAAAGCCTTAATGAACTCCGTGTTCTTCGTACGTCGAGCCGTGGCCAAATCGAGCGCGATACCGTGCATGTGTGCAGATTTTCCCACCTGCTGTTGGTCACTCTCTGAACTTCTTAAGACAGAAATCGCAGGGGAGATTTCACGAACTGGATCGCTCCCCGAAGACCCATCTCATCCCATTATGCCCGGGACCCGGTAAAGATTGATTATGTGTTACTATAGAGCTTGTAGTGATCTTCAGTATTCCTTAACGCATATCGAGTTAGTCGTTACTGACCCTAACGCTTTGATATCCGCCTATCTGTCAACAACGAAGGCAAGTTTGATGGAGCTAGGTCGACCAGTGACGAGTCAAGATTTGCTTTACTTCTAGGCTGGACGCAGAAAGAACCTTTGATTCATGACTCGGAAAATTCAGACTGCACTAAGGAGCCGGTAATGAACTTAGGCCAATAGACTCTGCTGCCATCTGTACTATAAGGTTCCAGCATAAAGGTACTACTAAGAATGCAAGGCTCTTAAAATTTCTCAAAATTAAATCGATCACAATGTAATAAAACCAGCCAACATAAGCTAAGCGTTAGTTAGTTTTATACTACCACCCAATCGACCGTATAAGTAGAGACCTAGACTCTTCTCCTGTCTTGTTCAGTGTGTTACTAGCACTCGCTGAAATAATGGAAACCGTATTACAGCTGTTTGTGAATTGAATCATTTGTGCAACAATATTTTCAGCTTCGGGCCTGCTTAAATCGTATCTCGTGGATATTTTTGTTCTTTGATGAAGTACGTGCAGTAGGTGTTTAACCCCTTGGGTAACGCATCCTAACTAGCCAAACAACCGACTTATATGAAAATTTACCTCTCTATGAAAATGATTGGATGGCGGGTCGTGTATTTAATACGACTCCTTTACCATTAAAACTCATATATTCGTAAATTTTTCTGACTGTGACAAGAACCGTGTCACCTGATTTGACATTTTCCATCATCAGAATGTTTGGTCTCGAGGGGTGGGAAAATAAGACAACTGAATAATATGACTGAACTGTTGATTGAAGCTTTCCTAGCGGATTCGACATAGAGATTGTAATCTATCAAAGTTTCAAAACCACTTTATCCTCGTGCTCCATTTTATACATACCTGCCTGAGTTATTACGTTTCTCTTCTTACAGAGCAAATTCGAAGCTATGTTATTCTTTCTGTGACAGGCCGAGCTCAGCATGCGAAGTCAAGGTGGTGTACTCTTTTTGCCAGACGAACAGACCGCGTGCGTATAATTTCAATACTTCAAATTCTAGCTAAGCCAGCTTTACTATAGGGTTTCGGAAGTCACTGATCTGGACGAAGATATACAAACTTTATATGCAACGCATAGAAGTGGATGAAAATCAATCATCGACATTTTAATATCTTGAAAGAAGATATTATGAAAAGGGTATTGCATAGAAACTTAATAATGGGAGACGACAAAAGATTTTAATGCCCGTGACTACTACTGGTAACACAAAAACGAAGAAGAAGATAAGAACTGTCTCTGGTAAAGCAAATGACATTTTCGGTCTCACGTTTTAGCTTATTTTTTCGATTCGAAATACGGTTAGCTTGCAATTACAAAGTGCAACAATATATTCGCGGCGAAATGATTCCAAGATAGGATGAAAAACTTAGATCCATATAATAAAACCTTCAAACCTTATTAGTATCCGTCATAACAGGACACTGCCTAATTGGCAAGCACGCCTATCGACTTGGCCTACGTTTACATGACTTCTGAAGAAGTTGTCAAGATGAAGAGGAAACGATTCTGCACCTGTTGTGCCAATGCCCTGCTCTACCTAGATAAAGACTCTCCACTCTCGGTAGGCAATTCTTCGACAACTTGGAGGACCATAGATGCGTCGAAATCAGGGATCTTCTCAAAGTTTTTTTTGGTTTTGGTTTTAGGAGGGATTGGGGTGCGGCATCACAATGGGCTCTGAGCCTAAGTGTGTCTTACAGACGACCGCGACAACCTTTTTGCATTTCCCAGGAACAAATTTTTTTATGGCCATATAAAGTTTGCAATTTTTTTCCTGAGTGTTTTCGGAATAAGTGGAAAAAAGGGTTAAAGTTCATATCGAAGCGAAATATGTGGTTTGGGTGTATCAAGTAAAATTTCACAACGAATAATTTTGTGGAACATTTCAACCCATTAACTTTTCACGAAAAGGTCGTTTTGATCCCTTGTTTTGTAAAGTCTGACTGAAGTGCGTTTGGAGGTCACTAAAGGGTTAAAATATTCTAATAAAGCTCGTCGGAAAATTTCACTACCCCTAGATTCAGACAAAATCTATATACAAAGAAAATAAAAGTCCACAAATCCAACTCAACCGGCATTCACAGCTCATTTTCAGCTATAAAAGCATATAATCACTGGGCTTGAGAACCTGTACTCGCACAGCCAGCCAGCTTGTCAGTCAGTCATCCAGCTAGCCGAATAGCAAGCCAGAGTTCGAAATGGGCAGCACACAATTGAATTGACGTTTTTGCATCGAAATCATTATACTTAGTATTGAAATGTATTTGTGCAAGCGTTGAAAATATTGCCCACATTCACTATTCGTCCGGTGATACATACATCAGATTTATAAATAGATACGAATGTGGGTTCCGATGGATAGCGATGAGAGCACAACATTAGCAAAAAGCCGAACATGCTAACTACAAAAAAATGTTTAACGCTAAATACTAAAACGGCAAATGGCAAAAACGGCTAACGAAAGTACATATTACAATGAATAAAGGGGAAACAAATAAAAAATAAATAAAATAGAAACAAACAACAAAAGGCGCTGAAAATAATCGCATGATATCTAATTGTTGTTATTGGATGTGATGACGATCACCCCAGTAATTGAGCGCACTAACAACAAATGGAATTTTGTGCGCTGTTTTAGCCACAACGCGTTTCGGGTGACTACATAAATATTTTGACACACATATAAATATTTAAGTATACATACATCTGACTTTGTACTAATAACTAAGTTATGTAGCTGT